GCTATACAAACATGTTACTAATAATATTATTATTATATACAGGTACACCTTTAAAAACAATTTAAACCTGGTGATTATGGAGGAACGTGATGAGTTTTACGATGATGGTTATGACAGCCTAATAAAAATACTAATAATATTAAGCTTAACCGCCACCGAAATAATAATAATAATAATAATAATAATAATAATAATAATAATAATAATAATAAAAATAATAATAACAATAATAATATCAATATTAATATTAATAAATAATAATAATAATAATAATAATAATAATAATAATAATAATAATAATAATAATAATAATAATAATTAATAATAATAATAAGGCTATACAAACATGTTACTAATAATATTATTATTATATACAGGTACACCTTTAAAAACAATTTAAACCTGGTGATTATGGAGGAACGTCTTAGATGAAAGGCTACCGCGACGCATCACTAAAAAGGGTGACAAGAAAGCAACACTTATATCAAGCAGAGGTGATGCTGAGATAAGCCTATGTGTAGGCTTGTTTATGTATAGCTGCTGAAACTTTGTGTGTTGAAGTCATTTCGACAAACAGAACAGAACATATCTACGAATACGTATCATGCACACAACTTGGAAAGTATAAGTGCAACCAGGCGCGTCATCATGAAGTCTCGACGAGAGCCCTGCTCTAATGCGTGACTACATTGTAGCTAATCGTAATTACGCATAATGTCCAATACACGTCACGACAAATCATTTGACTAAATGGATTGAATACAAGAAGGTATACAGTGTGTCAGCTAGTAGCAGCGATCGACTTATGCACAACGGATCTCACGTGTAAGCAGTCCTGGCACCCTGTGGATGTAAGCTTATCTCACCACCTCTGCTGAAATAAAATTAGATCTGAAATATTCATTGATAGATTTGTTGCTCAAATATTCTGGTTTGATATGGAGAGCACTGGTCGTGGCAGAGACGAGATTTTACAGGAATGGACAACTTTATGTAAGACCTAAATCGGACAGTTGTAGGTAAGGACACAAATTTTAAAAATATAAATAATAATAACATATATCAGAATATGGGGAAAACCGCTTCGAAACAGAAAGGAAAGGCGCTATATCATAAATTCTCACTAGCGTAGCATAAAAAGTCACCTATACAGCTAGTATAGATATTTAATACACGACTCAGATTTTCGTTTTCTGTAATAGGCCTACTCAACTGAAAATGTTTCATCAGATATCCTGTTAAAGCAGTACAGTACATTGTTTGACTCTCAACGGGCATGGACGTACATCAGTTTGTTGGATCATAAATACTACCAGCAGCAAAATTCAATCAGTCTCATTCAGTTTTGTTAGTTGAAAACGTTTGGTCGCATAAGTCTGTTGATGTAGTGTATTGTCTGACTTTCAATGGCCATGGAAAGACATTATTTTTTGTTTGCCATATATAATCGTGATGAAGTACTGTACAGTAATGCTTATTGTCTAATTCCCAAACGGTCATGGACTGTAATGTTAACGAATATGCATTACATCGGCTAAGCATCCACTGGTCTTAAAAAAATATATCTTATGCCTATACAACCACCAGCACGTTACTACTTTAAATAATTCATAATAGCAATTATGCCCTTTGGTTCTCATTGTTAGTATTCAATATCTCTATTGGTTAAGTAAAGCTTACATAGGTTATTAAATTATTACAAGTAAGTAAATCCAATGAAGTGCATATGTTTCATCGAATGGAAATTAAATGGCAATTTAAAATCAATTTGTCGATAGTTGCTCAGTTTATAAACATTCAATAACATATTGGAGCATTCATCACGTGTATGTATCTTTCATACTTTTCCCTATTTGTATGTTAAAAACCATATTTATTATTTTCGAAGTGTAAGTAGGCCTATGTTTGGCTTAAATTTCCAATTTGTGAATAATTTTATACCAAAAGAAATTTTGATAACATTTATATTAATATAAATTGAAATAAAGGTAAACTTGCCCATTTATTTTAGACATAAAAAAGCCTCTTGGTATTCCAAATAATGTATTTAATCGTTCTGTAATGTGATAATTATTCAAATTCTTGATGTGCTTTGACTTTAATGCGTGATTGCCGTTGCTCTGTTGTTTATTGGCTGTTTTATTCTAATTTAAATTTGATAGTTTTCATCTTAAGCTTTGTATAATTATTCCTTATACAATACCGTACTGTATTTTGATTCGATTTGTCCATTTTAATTTTGTTAGCGCATTGAACACTTTTAATTGAAAATGCGCTATATAAGTTATTATTGTTATTGTTATTGTTATTATTATTATTATTATTATTATTATTATTATTATTATTATTATTATTATTATTATTAATGGTCTGATTAGAGGTCGCCTACATTGTTATATACTGTAATAAGTGTATGATTCAGACATCAACAAAAATCACTAAATTGTAAGCGCCAAAGGCAACATGTGACAGTTGTAAGACAAGGTCGTGTTAAATTGAAATGTAACAACTATAAACGTCAATACATAGCTTAATTGATGGCCTGTACAATATCGATTTAATTTCTTGTATTATAATGTAGCCTGTTTATTACAAGCTCTTTTAGAATTCATTAATTACTATCAATTAATCTGTTTATTTACAGGTGGGGAATTTCAAGGTATTGCAACTGTGCAGCCGATTTAGGTTAACTCGGATCGATTTGATTGAAGAAAGCATCGATTTCGACTACAGTCTATATACAACAATACTCTTGACTCTTGCCCTTGTCAAACGCGTATACTTGCAAAACCATCGAAAATCCTAGACATATTCAAATATAATCAGCACCGGTACTCAAAATAACGACGTGTGAATATGGATATTAGTATATTTATTACGCGAATATTTCATAAAGTTATCTATTACCATAGTACAGATGTAATATGGTCGCAATATTAACGTGCTAAATATTCACGCAGAAGCAACCACCCTGCTGCTGAGCACCATACACAATACGCATGATCATGAACGCTTTTACAAGGTGTCGTTTAACCCTGAAATGTACGGATGACGTATTATTTCCTAATTGAATCGATTCGTGTCATAAATATAGTTTATTTCATCATAATATAATTATTGCATTGATGCGTGTAGTTTCAAATCTGACTGTGAAGTTGACAAATATTTGGATTTGAGGTTTGATCTCGCTTGATTTGTAATACAATGGATGTCTGTTTCAAAGAACAAGGGTGATGCACTTGTTATAGCATATGGACGCAGAAACCTAAATTCTCGAGAGAACATAGGCCTAGTTACAGAAAACAGATATCTGACTGTGGATAAGGAACCGAATTTATACAGAATTCTCGTCTTTCATATTGCAAACATATATTCATTCAAAAATAAGAGAACACAGCGTTATGACAACTAACTTAAGACGCTTTGTCGATCATTTTGTTTGTTGTTCATTCTAAGATGAAACATCTCCATCGTCAGTTCAATACAAGAAAGCAGTGTATCGAAAGTTTGAAATTTACGTTGATAACAAAACAAAGTGGCTCTTGTTTGTTGTCGACTTTTCCTACCTTCAGAGCGTCGTACCAAAGAGGTTTCACGACTCGATTCTTATTTCTTGTCACTTACTTACTTTCAAGTTTTGGTACTGTGTATGGTATGTGCCCTGCAAAATGCGAATGCGACAACATTTACCAATCCCTTGAGTGTAGTAACGTAGACATATTGGAAATTCCGAAAAACATTCCGAACTCTACCAGATTTATATCAATCACAAACACACAGATCTCTGAGATAAAGAGGTTAGCTTTCTTTTCTCTTCATTCTTTAAGAATGATTTCGTTGGAGAACAATCTGATCAATACAGTTTCAAATGATTGTTTCAACACTTCAAAGAAGTTGAGAAAGTTGAATTTAAACGGAAATCGCTTGTTGACTTTTCCAGAAGCATTGTTTGGCCTTAAAAGGATAAACGAAATACATTTACAGGGTAATGATATGACTATCCTAAATCCAGACAAACCTGTCATTTTACAGAAATTACACTTCCTGGATCTTGAAAGCAACAGACTAACAGAAGTTACTAGGAAGTTTTTCGATTCAATGTCAAAATTGAATACTCTTAACATGTCTTTCAATCAAATACGAAAAATTGACACTGATTGGTTAAGACCGATGATAAACTTGAAAGTACTTGAGCTCGAAGAGGCTTTTGAAATAGCGCCCGCTATTGGGGAATGGTTTTTTTGCGAATCTTCGAGCTCTCTCACCAGTATAAACATGGCTTACAATCGCATTATTTCTATACCACCAAGGACGTTTTCTTGTGTTCCAAATCTAAAATTCCTAATTCTTAACAACAACAATTTAGTCGAATTCCCTTCAAATATGAGCCTTCAAAATGTTGAACGTCTTGACTTGGGGTCTAACCAAATCGCACATCTCACAGGAGACACATTTGAGTCCTGCAAAAATTTAACGACATTAGATTTGAGTTCAAACAACTTACGAGGTTTACCAAATGGTGTTTTCAGAACTCTAAACCGCTTAGAGTCTCTTGATTTGAACAATAACTACTTGACTAACATCCAGTCTGATACATTTGCTAACTTGCCCTTCTTGAAGCATCTTCTTCTTTCCGGGAATAAGTTACAAGTATTACCTCCACGGTTATTATCCCTACATGTGAATCTCATTAATGTTGATCTAAGCGTAAATAACATTGAAAGTATCCCAGACGATATTTTTCAACCGACTACTTTGTTAAAACAACTAACTCTGAATAACAACTCCCTTGTACAGCTACCAAATATTCGGAATCTTAGAGATTTGCAATATCTAGACGTGTCATGGAACTTACTTAACGTCATATCGCCTGACGCTTTCGAAGGCACATTATTAAGAACTATCAACTTAGGTTCAAACAAAATCAATACATTCTATTCGGTGACCCTAGAGCGCTTGATGATTAATCACACACTTACAGCATTGATACTCGACGGAAATCCGCTCCGTTGTGACTGTATGACCGTATGGTTAACATTGGTGCCAATGAATGCAGTCTCTGATTTTCAGTGTGCTTATCCAAACCGACTTTCTGAAAGTACGTTTCATACCTTAGATTATTTCGAGAAGGATTATTTGGTGTGCGACGATGAAATAGATACGGAATTTATTCAAAAAGTAATTATTATTTGGTTCTCCATGTTGTTACTCGTTGTTCTTGTTTATTGGCTAATGGTGTACCATAAAACTTTGCGGTTATGGCGAGCCTGGAGTCCAACAAAGCGGAAACGTAAACGTGAAGTGGGTAACAGCGGAAAGTCCAACGCATATTACCGAATTTCGACTGATAACTTTTGGAATAATAACAGTTTGTTCACACATCGCATGACTTCCAGTTTTCGTCGAGTGCGTCTTACAGAATCGTTACAAAGCAATGAGTATTTAGAAACAATAGTTTAATGAAACTCCAAAGGATAATTCTGATAATTAGGTTTAAATTATGGAGCTTGTGATAATATGTTCACGGTCCAGTCCCATGATCACGATTCAAATTCTGTAAAACTCAGATTAATTGCACACTACGACTCATAATAGACTTGCTTATACGTTTATACGGTAATTACAGAGCATCATAAACCTGCCTGCTAAAGGCAACTAGGTTGTTTACTAAACTACCAAGTGATGTCAGTAACTATTGGGCTAAAGTCAGATGTCTATAAAAATACTTAAATTAGTGATGACAGTAAGAATTGGTTTAAATCAAAACTTAAATAGGCCTATTCAAAAATCTAAGCTGTATCCCATTATCCGTTTCCTAGGTTTTCGTCAAAAATATACAGGCCCTGTCCTGGGACAGAATGCTCACGTACTCGTGTTGATATCTGGTTGTTTCACCAATATAAACGGAAAAACATTAAATGCACATGTAAATTTGTAAACAACGGGGCACCCTAACCCTAATTTTGAAATGATTTTTGGTCAGTACAATTTTTAACTTTATGACAGTTTTGTTTCGACATGCGTTGGTGAGTTATTAAAATAACACACCAAGTTTTCACCTAAACTAATTATTTATATAGTGTATATTTTCACAGGTTATATCACAAATTTGCATTTCCTTATGAATAGAGTGCACCATCACCAAGAATCACAAAAATAATAATACATTATAACCGTCGAGTGGTTAAACTATGTTAGTTGTGTAAGTGCTGAAGAACTAACACTACACTAGGTATTAAAACAAAAAGACAGTAACTCCGAAAAGAGACAGTGACATTTTGGGATTCAACGTTTCGATCTATTTGATCATTTTCAAGAATACTGGTGAGAAAATCTCACCCATCCATATATGTTTACAATATTTACAGAATTATAACAGAAAGCAAATAAAAAACCGACCAATCAGATTAAAATCAAAGTTATAACTGGCCAAATAAAAACAAGGTAATTAAAAATGATGTGTGTCTTATATTTTATATCACTTATTGTGAATAAACAAAGAATTATCAACAATTATTCAACAATAATAGAACTTAGCCTGGGAATGCTGGCTGAATGAAAATCTCATGACATGAAATAAACAATAAGATAATTCATTGAAATTAATTATATACTTAAACAGTAGAAAATGCTTTCAAGAAAAGTACATGTGATATAATTACAATTCAGAATTAAATAATGAAAGCTCCATAAATGCTCTCAACCCAGTGTTTAAACTGGGCTTAAAACGCCTTTTGGCCAAAGCCTCCATAAATAGAATTTGTGACCAATGTCGAGAGCCACAGAATTTTAGTAGTCTTAAATATTAAAGTTTGCTTGAGTGATGAAGTATTTACATTTTTCAGGGAAACATTATTTATTTAAATTATATGCTTAAAACCCTCACATTGTTGTATGTGCTCATGAATACTGCTATCTGATTTGAGAGCATGCTCATTTATTCTTATCTTAAGGCATCTGTCTTTCCTATATAACTGGCATTGCAGCCAGGGCATTCAAATTTATAAATCAAAGAGCTACGGTATTCTTTAGGAGTAAGGTCCTTAGTAGGTGTAAAGTAAGAGACTTAACATCAAACTTAACATCAACAATTAAATATCTATTTATCTTCCTAATGCAGCCACGAGTGTCACCACGAACACCTATGTAAGGAAGACGTAACCAAATTTTAGGCCTATTGTCATCATTAATATCAGGCCTATCAATATCATTATTATTGGGCTTAGGTTTTAGCTGCTTAAGTAACTGATTGACAACATATCTAGGAAAACCATTCCATAGCATCATCTTCTTGATTCTTTGTTTCACTGGTAAAATATCATGCCCAGGCGTGCATATTCTGTATGCTCAGATAAAAGGCTACAAACCCAAGATACTTTATGAGCCCATGGAACAAAGCTATCAAAGTGAATATATTGACCAGTATGTATTTTCTTACGATACACTCCCATTGTAAATGTTAAATCAAGAAAATTAATGTTACAGCGTTCAAATGACTCAAAAGGGAAGTTAATATTTTGATGGAAAGAGTTAAGTGAGTTAAGTACTAGTGGGACATCGGAAGGCTTAGCTAAAACAAGAGTATCATCTACGAATCGAACATAGAATTTCAGTAAGTCATTGGCAACAAGATTAGAAATAACTTCTTGTTCAAGTTCTGTCATAATAATATTGGCTAGGACTGGGCCCAACGGTGAATCCATAGGGACGCCATCAGTTTGCTTATATAATGTATTATCACAAGATAATACAGTTTTCGTACATGTATCTCTAATTAGTTTACGAAGAGTATTCATTTTTAATTTTGTATCAATTAGTTTCTTATTGTAAACCCTATCAAGAATAATGCCAATATCCTTAGGCAGAGGAACATTAGTGAATAAAGATTCAACGTCAAATGAAATAAACAATAACCATCATAAGTGTCTTTTAATACACATTCGTTCTGAGTTAGCGGATATAATACACTGGCTAAAAATTTGGCGACAGGATAGTTGTATCTATAATAGGACGGAGAGGTGGAAGAGTGTCAAAATCCTTGTGTGTCTTTGGAAGGCCATGTGCCCTAGCTGACATACGGTAGTTGATAAATAAATAAATAAATAAATTGTTCTTAAATAATTTTGCAAAGAGTTCAACTGTGTTAAAAGTGATCCATTAGTGTACTGCTTGAAGTTGTTACCGGTGAACATATTAGATATGGATTTCTGACACTAGGTATTATACTAGTCACTGGTTTCCCAATATTTTAGCTTAATGAAAATAATAATGATAATTTTATTATTATTATTATTATTATTATTATTATTATTATTATTATTATTATTATTATTATTATTATTATTATTATTATTATTCATAATAATACAACACCACACTTGTGTGTGTGTTTGTGTTTCGAGAAAGCCAGTTTTCATCAGTGACAATTACAAGTCAGCATATTTGTTAAATATTCATAAGCCAATTACAGCTACATAGAGAGAGTAATATCAAATTGAAACAACTGTTTATTTAAAGATGGCTTTCCCCACAACAAATGAATTGCTTCTTTTATTTTTAACTGATATGTGAATTATTCCAGAATAGTGACGTAGTTCTCATTACAAAGTCGGCGACAGTGTTCAGCATCTACAAATGCTGAAAAATATGAGAGGCCCTGCTCACGTACTCGTGTTTATAGGTGTCTGGTTGTTTCATCATGTAAACGGAATTACATCACATGACCATGTAAATTTGTAAACAACACGAGAACAGAGCATCTCCGGGACAGGGTCTTTTACATTGAATATATTAGAATTTTAAAATGATTTTAGGCCATTTTTAACTTTATGACAGTATTGATTTGACAGGCGTTGAATTTTATGGTTTACATAATTAGCCAATTGTAAAAAAGCGCAATTGAAAACAATATGTCGGTTCATCGAAAAGGGGAAGAGGAGAAAGAGAGATCCATGAACAATTTGACTAGGACTACTGAAACGGCATCCATCTTGTTGTAGTCTTCTTTGTTGAGTATCACAACTCCATTCTTCTTGTCCAGTTGGGTAATTAATACACGACTGTTATTGCGCAGTTGTTTTGGGTATCCCAAGTTTCTTCAAGTCATTGCGAGATGGACGGTACATACTGAGTGAGGGGCCAAGTGCGTTAAGTCCGATTTGAGTTTACCTGCAAACTATCGTAATGTGGATGTGGATACATTAATGAACCATTTCAAAACGGGTATAAATAGTTATATTGATACTTGGTGACATAATCGAGTGTGCGAGACCCAGCTTCAGTGCCCGTTTTTGTTTTGTAGATAAAAAAAATAAAAATGAGAAGTTAGTAGTCATAAATATATTTTTAATTTACATAATCAGGTGCAATTGCTTATTCTTATATTGCTTATATTATTATTATTATATTGCTTATATATTCGACCAGTAAATTGTAATTGCCACTGATGATGAGAACTGGCTTTCTCAAAACATGCCTGCTCTAACATTAAAGGCGTGCGTCCTGTTCATTTAATGCCTCTTTCGTTTTGTTTGAGACACATACATAGGCATATATACATACATAGGATATATATATATATTATATATACGGGGTAAATGCTAGTAAAATCGTGCGTTTGACAAGCGCGTATTTTCTATTCTGATTGGTCAGTTGTTATGTTGATTGACAATCCAAAAAGGTTTATTTTAACCATTATTAAACAGAAAGTGTACATTTTCCTCTTTTTATGGTGAATACGCTGTCAATAATATGTATGCAATACGGATACTCCAATATTTATTAATTCTATTATTTTAATATCATAATATGTGGTTAAATTATATAGAATTTATATTTTTGTTGTATTGTCCTATTTACATAAATAAGCTTCATCTTCTATCATATAAGTCTAATACCGGTATATTATTATTATTATTATTATTATTATTATTATTAATATTTATTATTATTATTATTATTATTATTATTATTAAACCCTATTATCGTACGTTTCTTTGTAAAAAATTAGGTACATTTTCCTTTTTCTCAACTGATTTTTCATAACAATAATTAATCTCATTTCTAAAGATATACATTAATTAGTTTATGCAAGTTTGCAACTAGGCTATTTTGACAGTTCAATGCTTATTTTGGAAATAAATTGTGTATATTTATGCTTATATTAGATGTTCAGCTACAGTTAGGTCTTTTGTTTTAGTAAAATAAGCTCTCTTGTAGAATCAACTGTAAATGACTATGTCAAATTTTAAGGCATACACATTCATGGTTATACCATTGCCTGTATTTTTATGAAGTGGTACTTGACAATTGTTGACCTTTCAGGTATACTGCAACTAGGGAGTTTCTTTATTATTTACTTTTCTTATTTGTTGTAACTAATGCTCAAAACTCTTAATACAATTCCTTAATGCAGACGATAATTATACTGTATTGTATGGTTTTCGTTTGTTTATTTATAAGACTCAATTCAATTATATAGGCCTATTATTTGCTTGAAATGATCTAATATACAATAGTAAGATTTCTATATAGTTGTCGTTAAAATACAATTTATATAGAAATGTGATACAAACTGTAAGCCTATTATATAATTATTCATTTTCCGTTTTAATATTAAAGGAAGTGAACACCAAAATCATTACCGTATGCATACCGGTACATGATGGTATATAATTCTGATGTGGTTTATACAGTAAGTATATTAAAATGATCAATTTTACTTATGCATGGCATAATTACAATGCAATAAAAAGTCAGTATGACGTCTCGTATTATCCATATTAATATTTTGGCTAAATTTCTTTTTTTTGTATTATTCACATGCGGTGGCGCAGGGATGGAGCAGCCTGCAGCCTATGCAAATCATTGGGTTCCAGGTCTAGTAGGGGCGCCATTCATAGGCTTAAAAGTTATATATTTTTATATAGAATATAGTACTGCGTAACGGTAATACAAACTCAATACGTAAAATGTTGACTTTTAAATTAAATATTTTACGTATCTCTGAGTTTGTATTACCGTTACGCAGTACTGTATTTTATATGTTTCGAAAAGCACGTGGAAGGCTGCATTGGCAAAAAAAGATAGCTAAAACAGAAACTCCGGACACGATGGCGTGCATTTCGATACTTACTATGTATAATACTATGTATTATACTATCTTAGATGGTAATAAGTTGCCAGGTATATTTATTAAATCAAATGAGGAAACCAACCTTTGACAAGCTAAAGGAAATATGAAAAGTAATAAGATGAAAACTAAAGAAAACAACAACATTCTTAAAGCTCGAGGTTTCCATAGAATCGCGCAACCTATCAGCGGCAGCCGCCGACAGTTGTCGGGGAGTTTGAACC